TCCCCCAACACCCTGAGTTATGATGTGTTTAAAATTGAATATTTTAATAGACTTATGGCTGAGGAAATAAATGGGGCCACAGCTAAATACACCAGCCTGACCCCATTACTTACGGCATGGGCCAGTCATTGGTGATGGGGGACAGACTGGTGATTATTTGTTAATCTTTTCCTCATCTCTGCAACGAGGAGAGAGAGAGAGGAGAGAGAGAGCGGAGAGCGAGAGAGAGCGAGCGCCCCCGTGAGTAGCGGGAGAGAGCGAAGGCGAGCGACGAGGGAGGGCGGGGAGGGAGAGGAGAGAGGGGGGAGGGAGGGAGGGAGCGGAGAGAGGAGGAAGAGGAGCGAGAGGAGAGAGGAGAGAAGAGAGAGAGAGGAGCGAGAGGAGAGAGAGAAGAGAGAGGGAGAGAGAGAGAGCAGAGAGAGAGGAGTAGAGAGAGCGAGAGAGCGAGAGCAGAGAGAGAGTCGCGGAGATATCGGTCTCTATCGAGCTATATTCGCGCTTCTCTGCTATGCTCTCTTATCTCGTCTCTTCTCTCATCTCTCTTACTCTCTCTCTCTTCCCTCCCCTCTGTCTTTCTCTCTCTCTCTCTTTCAATTCAATTCAATTTGCTTTATGGCATGATGTAACAATGTACATATTGCCAAAGCTTACTTTGGATATTTACACTATTAACATAATTAAAATAATAATAATGAATATTGTCAACGGGACAACAGCAACAACAATAACCAAGGGTCAAAATAACCATTTGAACAATAACAATATAGAGGACGTGTGCAGGTTGGCTGGTCTGTCAGACACTGTCCCTCATCTTATGGCAGGCAGCAATGTCGTGTGCTGCCAACCCACAGCTCTATGCGTCCTCCCCCAACAGGACGGGTAGCCTATCCTCATCAGAGAGGTATTTGAAACCTTGAAAAACTGTTTCAAATTTGGGGAAATGACACTCTCTAATTGTTTTATATTTTAAAAAATGTGTCAGGAAATGCAGCTTTGTCTCAGGTTCTGCTGTGGTGCAGTGGTTACACAGCCTTTCCTCTACAGGGAGCCAGGTTTTCCTGTGTCTACCCTTCTCAATGGCAAGGCTCTCTCTCTCTCTTTCTCTCTCTCTCTCTCTCTCTCTCTCTCTCTCTCTCTCTCTCTCTCTCTCTCTCTCTCTCTCTCTCTATATATATATATATATATATATATATATATATATATATATCTGTCCCTTGGCTGGGCTCTGTCTCTCACACTCACTCTCCTCCTCTCTCTCAGCTGGGCTGGTCTTTCTCTTCCTCTCTATCTCACCCCATCATGTTTATTATCATGTTTTACATGTACTCATGACAATAGAGGCAGACTTGTGGCTTGTGTAAGCTATAATGTGCAGAGAGCTATCATTCAACGATGATGAGCCATGTACGTGTATGTGTGTTTGTTTGTACACTATATACAAAAGTATATGGACACCCTTTCAAATTTGTGGATTTGGCTATTTCAGCCACACCCATTGCTGACAGGTGTATAAAATTGAGCACACATCCATCTCCATAGACAAACATTGGCAGTAGAATGGCCTTACTGAAGAGCACAGTGACTGTCAACGTGGCACCGTCACAGGATGCCACCTTTCCAACAAATCAGTTCGTCAAATTCCTGCCCTGTTAGAGGTGCCCCAGTCAACTGTAAGTGCTGTTATTGTAAAGTCGAAACATCTAGTAGCAACAACGGCTCAGCCACGAATTCGTCTGTCCTCGGTTGCAACACTCACCACTGAGTTACAAACTGCCTCTGGAAGCAACATCAGCACATTAACTGTTCGTCGGGAGCTTCATAAAATGGGTTTCCATGGCCGAGCAGCTGCACACAAGCTTAAGCTCACCATGTGCAATGCCAAGCGTCGGCTGGAGTGGTGTAAAGCTCCCTACCATTGGAATCTGGAGCAATGGAAACGCGTTCTCTGGAGTGATGAATCCCGCTTCACCATCTGGCAGTCCGACGGACAAATCTGGGTTTGGCGGATGCCAGGAGAACGCTACCTGCCCCAATGCATAGTGCCAACTGTAACGTTTGGTGGAGGAGGAATAATGGTCTGGGGCTGTTTTTCATGGTTCGGGCTAGGACCCTTAGTTCCAGTGAACGGAAATCTTAATTCTACAGCATACAATGACATTTTAGACGATTCTGTGCTTCCAACTTTGTGGCAACAGTTTGGGGAAGGCCCTTTCCTGTTTCAGCATGACAATGCCCCCTTGCACAAAGCGAGGTCCATACAGAAATGGTTTGTCGAGATTGGTGTGGAAGAACTTGACTGGCCTGCACAGAGCCCTGACCTCAACCCCATCGAACACCTTTGGGATGAATTGGAACGCCGACTGCGAGCCAGGCCTAATCGCCCAACATCAGTACCCAAACTCACTAATGCTGTTGTGGCTGTCCTCGCAGTCCCCGCAGCAATGTTCCAACATCTAGTGGAAAGCCTTCCCAGAAGAGTGGAGGCTGTTATAGCAGCAAAGGGGGGACCAACTCCATATTAATGCCCATGATTTTGGAATGAGATGTTTGATGAGCAGGTGTCCACATACTTTTGGCCATGCATATGTGTGCGTGCGCATGTGTTTACATTTATGTGTGTGCAGGGCTTTTACTTTAAAAACCTTAGACTGACCTCCTGTATTGCCTCCTTATTGTCCAGGGGGAAGTGGCCACAGAATCAGCATCAGCTAGTGACCCAGAGGCCCGGCCTGTGCTCTGCTGTGATGTGATGGACGAGCGGACACAGGCTCACAGAGACTATTTTTTATCACCGGACCCAGCGGTGCTACCTGGCAGACTCACCCAATCAGCCGACGCTAAATTGCTTTCTGCAACCCACTGATTCTCCTCCACTGATGCTGCTTCTCTATCCGACTATACTCAATCCTTTTTTTATGTCTTCTCTAATTGCAGTAATCTGTTCTCTCTCTGGTTCTTGCTACTGTATAGCGAGCGCTGGTTGTCCTTTTCATACTCCTGGGCCACAGCACCCAAAGAGTCATTTACAGAACTAAGTAAGAGTTGAGCATCTTATTGTGCATGGTACTGTTTAGCCTGGGTCCTATAGCCTACATTAGTGGTCCCCATAAAATTCAAATTTGGAGGTAGTCAGTCATGCATACCGGTAATATTATATGTTGCTATGTTGTCATCCATCACAGATAGCAGATGCATAATAATACCTGGACCAGGCCACTGGAAATATGATGTTTTCCTTGATCAGAATGAGAAGTAAACACTGTGTGTATCTCTCAGCTAAACACATATTTGGTATTGTGAGTGTTGTTTGAGAGTTAGGCCTTTCATGTTTTATGCAACAGATTATGCATGCATGTTTCCTGCCAAAGAGAGAGCATATTAATATTATAAAAGATTATTTTTCATGGTAGATATAGTTTATATGATGTGTGTATCACACACAAACAAACACACACCACACATGCCAACACACACACCCAAACACAGTACACACATGTATAATGCTACATAGGCACACAGACTTAGACACATTGAGAAACTATAGGTCCTGTGAACCTTCTTTATTCCTCAATCTACAGATATTGCTGAGCTCAGTGAAACACACAGGTCTGTAAATCACCTGTTATTACAGCCTCTGAGTCACAAGGAGTTGATATAGTCAGGACCCATATTCACAAAGTATCTCAGAGTCGGTGTTCTGAACTAGGATCAGGTTTCCCCCACTTATTAATTATGATTTATAAGGCAAACCTTTTTCCTAGATCAGCACTCCTACTCTGAGACGCTTGGTACATACAAGCCCTTGTGTCTGACAATAACGTCTTGTGACTCTAAGGCTGTCCTAATATGGACACTGTACATATGGTCTGGTCGCATACTTTAAAATCCACACAGTACCAGGGACATCCCCTTTTGAGAGGCTTACACCTCCAACCCTCCAACCCTCCAACCCTCCAACCCTCCAACCCTCCAACCCTCCCTTTATCCCTCCATCCTCCCACCCACACACACTGCCCATCTCCCCAACCCCCCCCCCCCCCCACTCCCACCCTCACCCTCCCTCCATCTCTCTCTCTCTTGCTTTCTCCTCCACCCCCACATACCAACCCTCCGTCTCTTTGTTTCCCTCTATCCATCCTTGCTCTGCAATTCTCTCGCAGAGGATAGAAATCCTCAAATGAATGCCACTTCAATGACAGTGGCTATATATACATATCTTTAAAATGACAAAGAGAATCACAGCAGCACACCAACACATAAAAACATTGCCAAAAAGTCAAAAAAGTCAAAAAAGACAGGGAGTTTACAGTAGACCTGGCTTCAAATACTACTTGAATTTAAAAAATACACTTTTATTGTTTGTTCTAGTCTGCCTGGAGTGCCAGATGGGTGTGGTTTTCACTCTTGCTACTATTCCATTTGTTCCATTTGTGTCAGGCAAGCTCAATCAAGTCCAGATAAAGTATCTGACATTATTTCAAATAGTATTTGAACCCAGGTACGGTTAACAGGTAGACTATGAGCTCATATCTGCTGAGCTGGGCTGGGTTTTGTCTCTGAGGTCACCTGTATTTGTCCCTCTGTCTGTTAGTCCACCTTAGAGAAGTATAGAAACACACACAATAGAATAGAAAACACATCAGTCTTTATCAGAATGATCTCATCAGTTCATCTGGGAGGCTGGCTGGCAAGGCGCTGGGCCGTTTTCCTGAGCTGGAGTGATATCAGTGAAACGTGTTGTTTCTTTCTGCCACCCCATAGGACCGGAACAGTCTTGGTTGAGGTCATACTGAGCTCTGAGAAGTCTAGTCCACTCTAGCTGAGCTCAGGGTCAGACACTTACCACCCTTTTCACACTACTGAGCCAAGCTAAGCCAAGCTGTACTGCGATGGTAGTTGCTGAACCTGTGCTGGTAAGCACAATGTAAAAGGTCAATATCACAACATGGATCCGGTCGACATAATAGTGTGAAAAGGATCTAACTATCCATGGGCGAGGGTCATGTGTCTATGACCTCGGTCGGTGATGGTTCGTCAGAGAGGCTAGTGGTGGCATTGGGCAGGGTCTGGTTGTGCCTGTGGCTGTGACCCACAGAGTTCCCTTGCTGCAGCTCCAGGGCTATACCTACCATGCTAGGGTCCTGTGGAGGGAACTCCTTCACCTGCCTCCTATACTCCAGGAACGTACAGGCTTTTGTGGCTATAGCCACCACGTTCTTCCCTATAAAGATGGTAGACACCCTACTATCCTGGAACAGCACCATGTTAACCCCACGGATCAAGATCGTGACTATGTTTATAGTAACTAGACTAAGAACAGGGTACAGCATCATCTTCTGGGGCGAGATGTGCTCCCCCTGGACACTGATCTCAGAGAGGGAGACGCAGGGCAGGGTGAGGAGCAGGATGTAGCAGTAGAAGAACATCAGTCCCTCGGCCCAGATGGGCAGGCCGGTCCGCTGGGGCTCCCACAGGTTGGCCTGGATGTCCAGAACATCCAGCAGGTCCAGGGCCACCCAGAACAGCTTCCCCCGCATGTCCTCCTTTTTCCTGAAGGTCCTCACGTATTCCATGCTGTCCAGAGCCACCAGGACCAAGTATAGCCCCGGGACGCATACAGAGAGGAGTAAGGTTAGAGCCTTCCGGGCCACTGTCTCCAGGCTCTTCCTGTCCGCCTTGTAGTTCTATAAGATATAAGATATACTTTATTGTCACACAGATACTGAAACGTGTCTTTTTCAATATCTCTGTGGGTATCCCCCCACCAAGACACACACATACAGTGCATTCGGAAAGTATTCAGACCCCTTTTTCCACATTTTGTTACGTTACAGCCTTATTCTAAAATGGATTAAATAAAAAATGTTCCTCATCAATCTACACCCAATACCCCATAATGACAAAGTGAAAAAAGGTTTTCAGAATTTTTTGCAAAGGTATTAAAAATAAAAAACAGAAATACCTTATTTACATAAGTATTCAGACCCTTTGCTATGAGACTAGAAATTGAGCTCAGGTGCATCCTGTTTCCATTGATCATCCTTGAGATGTTTCTACAACTTGATTGGAGTCCACCTGTGGTAAATTAAATTGATTTGGAAAGGCACACACCTGTCTATATAAGGTCACACAGTTGACAGTGCATGTCAGAGCAAAAACCAAGCCATGAGGTCGAATGAATTGTCCGTAGAGCTCCGAGACAGGATTGTGTCGAGGCTCAGATCTGCAGCATTGAAGGTCCCCAAGAACACAGTGGCCTCCATCATTCTTAAATGGAAGAAGTTTGGAACCACCAAGACTCTTCCTAGAGCTGGCCGCCCGGCCAAACTGAGCGATCGAGGGAGAAGGGCCTTGGTCAGGGAGGTGACGAAGAACCCGATGGTCACTCTGACAGAACTCCAGAGTTCCTCTGTGGAGATGGGAGAACCTTCCAGAAGGACAACCATCTCTGCAGCACTCCACCAATCAGGCCTTTATGGTAGAGTGGCCAGACGGAAGCCACTCCTCATTAAAAATCACATGACAGCCCGCTTGGAGTTTGCCAAAAGGCACCTAAAGGACTCTCAGACCATGAGAAACAAGATTCTCTGGTCTGATGAAACCAAGATTGAACTCTGTGGCCTGAATGCCAAGCGTCACGTCTGGAAGAAACCTGGCACCATCCCTACAGTAAAGCATGGTGGTGTCAGCATCATGCTGTGGGGATGTTTTTCAGAGCCAGGGACTGGGAGACTAGTCAGGATAGAGGGAAAGATTAATGGAACAAAGTACAGAGAGATCCTTGATGAAAACCTGCTCCAGAACACTCAGGACCTCAGACTGGGACGAAGGTTAATCTTCCAACAGGACAACGACCCAGCCAAGACAACACAGGAGTGGCTTTTGGACAAGTCTCTGAATGTCTTTGAGTGGCTCAGCCAGAGCCCGGACTTGAACCCAATCGAACATCTCTGAGAGACCTGAAAATAGCTGTGCAGCGACGCTCCCCATCCAAACTGACAGAGCTTGAGAGGATTTGCAGAGAAGAATGGGAGAAACTCCCCAAATACAGGTGTGCCAAGCTTGTAGCATCATATCCAAGAAGACTCGAGGCTGTAATCGCTGCCAAAGGCGCTTCAACAAAGTACTGAGTAAAGGGTCTGAATACTTATGTAAATGTGATTTCAGTTTTTTATTTTGAATAAATTAGCAAAAATTTGCTTTGTCATTATGGGGTACTGTGTGTAGATTGATGAGTTTAAAAAATGATTGAATCCATTTTAGAATAAGGCTGTAACATAACAAAATGTCGAAGAAGTCAAGGGGTCTCAAAACTTTCCTAACGCACTGTACACCAGTGTTAGTCGTAGTGCAGCGTCTCTCGATCAGTTTAGAGGTTAAATATCCTGCTCAAGGGCACAATGGAAGGAGATGGTACTGTATATGGGATACTGATGCCAGCAACCCTCTGGTTACCGGCCCGCTTCCCAACAGAATTGTATATAGTCGGTGCTGGGATTCGAACCGGCAACCCTCTGGTTTCTGGCCCACCTGTCTAACGTTTAGGTTACCTACCTGGAAGACAAAGTAGAGCTTGATCTCCAGGACGAAGATGTAGAGGAACCAGAGGATCATGGCGTAGCCGCGTTTGGCGGTCTTCACCTCAGCCCCGACCCACACTGCCACGTAGCGCAGCACGATGAGGAAACAGATGTCTCCCACCAGCACGATGATGCACACCCCGATCTACAAATGCACACCATATTGTATTTATGTAACGTGCATTTAAAATAGTAACACAGTTGTTACAGTTAAACAATACATTAAATGACTTTTTTTTTTAAACAATTGAGAGACAATGAAAGAGATGTCAAACCACAAAGGATGTCAAAACAGTAAAATCATTCATTAAAATATAAAATAATATGTTTTTTAAAGTGTAATTCAAAGCTACAGTCTGCGATTGGTACATCTATTGTTGGACTTTTAAAATGTGTGATGTATAGATTTCTTCTTTTTTAAATCCCAGACAATGGTCGCATTCCCCTGCTCAGACGTTGCATGCATCAACCCAACCTAATCAAACACATTATATTTGACTAAAATCCATGCCACTCCATTTAGTATGGTATGTTAATTTACGTTAGGTTACATTACATTGGCCTACCAATGTAATAGCAGTCGTACAGTATAATACGAATTGTAGGACGTATAGTATCCTACGTCTTGAACTTTTAGTATATATTACGTTCGACTGCTTAAGTATGATATATTACGTTCGACTGCTTAAGTATGATATATTACGTTCGACTGCTTAAGTATGATATATTACGTTCGACTGCTTAAGTATGATATATTACGTTCGACTGCTTAAGTATGATATATTACGTTCGACTGCTTAAGTATGATATATTACGTTCGACTGCTTAAGTATGATATATTACGTTCGACTGCTTAAGTATGATATATTACGTTCGACTGCTTAAGTATGATATATTACGTTCGACTGCTTTAGTATGATATATTACATTTGACTGCTTTAGTATGATATGCTACATTCGACTGCTTTAGTATAATATGCCACGTTCAACTGCATAAGTATGATTTGCTACGTTCGACTGCTTTAGTATGATCTGCTACGTTAGACTGCTTTAGTATGATATGCTACATTTAACTGCTTTAGTATGACATATTACGTTAGAATGCTTTAGTATGATATATTATGTTCAACTGCTTTAGTATGATTTATTAAGTTTGACTGCTTTAGTATGATATGCTACGTTAGGTTATGGGTTAAAGTTAGGAGTTAGGTTAAAGGGTTAAGGTTAGGGTTAGAGTTAGGGGAAGCGTTAGCTAACATACTAAGTAGCTGCAAAGTAGTAAGTTATTGCAAAGTTGCTCAAGTTGTCTGTGATGAGATTCAAACACGCAACCTTTGGGTTGCTAGACGTTTGCGTTATACATCTACCCAACCACCCCGATCAACCACCCTCCTTTAGTTTTTGCCTTAAGTAACCTACTGTCATACCAAACGTAACATATCATCCTAATTTGAGTGTCCAGGATTTACATAGGCCAATGTAATGCAACCCAATGTAAAGTAACATATCACACTAAATGGAATGGCACGGATTTTAGTAAATATAACACGTTTTACTCTGAGACCAGGCTGATCAACCAATGGTTGCGTGCTACGTCATTGACTGACAGATTGCTATAACATATGATGTGGTTAGCTTATATGTAAAATACAGTGCCTATCCAGGCGTTGTAAGATCTGGCAGGCATCAGCAATGCCTGGGCAGAGGAGCGAGCCCAGTAGTTGTGTTCCTCTGCTCAGGCGAGGCAACGCAACAACCAATGGGCTAATTCCTGCCAGTTCACGCTGGGTTCATAGCCGAAATAAGTATCCCAGCTGTTCTAAAAAATCATGCAGCAATTCTGCTCAAAGAACAACGGAATGGTTGTAGGGAAAGAGATGCCAAGCAGTGTTATGCTAATTATTGCCATCTATATGGGAGGTGTGAATTGCAGACAATTACCACGTGCCATGTGCTCAGATAGAAGCCATTAGCTATAGCTATTAGCCCAAACATAGAAAACCATGTTTCAAAGTTGATACATGTGCATCCAGGTATATACTTATGTGGGTGAGTCAACTTATTTGATTGACATTATTTCATTTGATTTAATATTTTTACCAAAGTCTGCTCCATTTGAAGTAGAAATCGAAAATCAACTTTATACACGAAAGAAAACATTTAATCATTTGGAGACTACAGGAAATAGGTTGACTTCTATGTTAAACAACTGCAGTCATGTCTGCTTTGGTTGTCAACAGCCTTGTGGCTATTGTAGTCTTTTGACTGTAGAAAAACAGGAATCTCTAAAGTTGTCCCAGGTGAGGCAAGCATGCGAGGGAGGGGCAACTTTGACTGCGCAATAAAGCATCTGAGCAGGGGTATGGACCCTATAGCTTTAAAAATGATAAAAACAAAATGGCCTCTTACCTTCCTGGGCCCCTGGTTCTGCTCTACCAGATAGGCGTCCATGAAGGCCATGCTGGTCATGATCACCATGGTGGTCAGGCACACGTGGCACTTGTCTGGCTGCGGCAACACCATGGTGGGTAATGGGGGTTGTAGTTCTGCTGAAATGAACTTCCTGTTGTAGTCCCACAAAAAAAGTGATGTTGTTCTACTGCATTTGTAGTCCTATTGCACTTGTAGTCCTACTTTACAGTTTTCTGATTGAGTTATTTTAGGGGCAAATGTCAAGTGTACCTGATCAATCCCTATTAGGGTAACAAATAGCCTACATTCCAATTTCTTTTACATTATTGGGAAAATGCACTCCCACTCCTTAGCATGACGCAATGGGTCCTCCATTAATGCGTTTGAGAAAGACAACACTCTTAGGACCAGAAGGGCAATGAGACGAATCCAGGTTAGGTTGGTCCCGTGTAGCTCAGTTGGTAGAGCATGGCGTTTGCAACGCCAGGGTTGTGGGTTCGTTTCCCACGGGGGGCCAGTATAAAAATGTATGCACTCACTAACTGTAAGTCACTATAGATAAGAGCGTCTGCTAAATGACTAAAATGTAAAATGAGAATCGCACTGATATATCATGGTCTGTTTACGCCATACAGACTGGTGCATCCCCTCAGCGCAGTTCCATTTAGTCTGCTGTGCTACTGCTGTGTCAGCTACTGCTGTCATCAAGGCCTAACAACCCAACTCTGAGGCTCCATAACCCTGGAATCCTCTCAGTAATATAGCAGTTGGGGTTTATTGCTCCATGGGAAAATGACAAAACCATATATCTTCAGTTGTAGACTTTGTAGTGGCCGAGTCCTCATGGAAAGACCATGTCATTGGTGTCAACTGATCATGTGAGTCAGCATCTGTTAGCAGCATGGACTAGAATAGGACAACAACAACAGTACATTTCCTGCAATCAATGTGTGTGCTTGCTTCAATTTTCCAAAGGTATCAGAGAGAGGTCTTCTAAAGTGGATCTACTGATGAGGAGAGAATGGAGTTCCACCCACTGCTGATGAGACGGACCTCTGAGAGTGATGTGTAGTTCCTGTGATACGCCTGTCCAAGTCCAGAGGAATTGTTTCTCCTCTCTCAGTCTGTAGAGTCTGGGGAAGAGAGAAGAGAAAAAGGGGTTAGCTTAGCACAAACTGTGTTGTAGCCAATTATGTATATAAACTCTGGATTGCTGATGCTATGTATTGGCAGGGCTGGTGCCAGAGCTAATCAGTTGGATGGGCATTCCATTTTTTTTCACGGGACTTCCTATGTGTGATATTCAAGTTTGGGGAAGCTTACAATTTATCCTACATTTCTACCGATTTGTGTGCCAGTTATGATTTTCATATGCGTATTTTCATGGAACAGTTTCATTTCAATAATAACGTTTAAGTTTCTCAAAATCTATGTCACGTGGTTAATCATAAAAATCTGAATTAAGATTTATAAAAATCTAAAAGTTAAAATTCAACAAATACGAGAGCACCAATCTCTGCTATATGGACACATTGATACACATTGTTACACCATGGAAAAATGTACAGGTAATATATGACGCTTTCACTGGATATATGGGTTCACCAGATCATGCAATTTTTACGAGGTTGTTGATTATCGAAGCCGGGAGAGTGTTGGAAAGATTTTTCAAATACTGTGAGGAACTATTATCATTCGCAATGGATATAAAAAAAACGGAATTCATTGACTTACTGTGTGAGGTGAAGAGAAAATGACTGGGAAGCTCAGCTTATTAGTGGTGGATGTGGTGAGTGTCACGCCCTGGCTCTGGGGACTCTTGTATGTTGAGCCAGGGTGTTAGTTTCTTTGTGTAGTGTCTTTGTTTCGTTTTCTATGTTCTGTTCTAGGTTATGTGTTTCTAGGTTGGCCGGGGTGGTTCTCAATCAGAGGCAACGAGAATCAGCTGTTGCTTGTTGTCTCTGATTGGGAAACATACTTAGGCAGCCTTTTGTGCACTTGTGATTCGTGGGATCTTGTTCCGTGTAGGTTTGTGTATGACCGAGGACTTCACGTTTCGTTTTGTTATCTGTATCGTGTTGCTAAGTACAATATTAAAGAGATGTACGCATATCACGCTGCACCTTGGTCCACTCATTATGACGATCGTGACAGAAGATCCCACCATCAAAGGACCAAGCAGCGTGTCCAGGAGCAGACAGCATGGACTTGGGAGGAGATCTTGGACGGGCAGGGGTCCTGGACTTGGGAGGAAATCCAGGCCGGAATGGATTGCCGTCCGTGGGAGGAGACGGTGGAGGCGCGCCATAGAGAGGAGCAGCGGCGCCAACCGGGTCGACGTCGGACACGCAAGAGGCAACCCCAATAATTTTTTTTGGGGGGGCACACGGCATGGACGACGGGGCTGCTACAGGGCGAGTTTGGGGATTAGGAGAGGAGGCCACCGGGTTTGGGGGGCTGGAAGGGAGGTTGGCGGAGCCTAGAGGTAGAGCAGAGCCAACTCCCCGTACTCAGGCTAGGCAGCGTGAGACTGGGCAGGTTCCGAGGTATGCGGAGCTGCGTACTGTGCCGCGAGTGGTCCGGCACAGTCCGGTACGTCCTGTGCGAGCACCACGCACGTGTCGTGCTAAGGTGGGCATGCAGCCAGGACGGAGTGTGCCGGCTCAACGCTCGTGGCCTCCAGTACCCCTCCTCGGTCCCGGATATCCTGCGCCAGTGTCACGTGCTGTAGTGCCAGTACGAGTACACAGCCCTGTACGTCCTGTGCTGATGCCTCACACAGAGTGTGTAAAAATAGGCATTCAGCCAGGACGGGTTGTGTCAGCTCTTCGCTCCAGACCTCCAGTCCGTCTCCACAGCCCGGTCCGGCCCGTTCCTGCTCCCCGCACCAAGCCTGTGGTGCGCGTCGCCAGCCCGGTCCGGCCTGTTCGTGCCCCTCGCACCAAGCCTGTGATGCGCGTCGCCAGCCCAGCCCGGCCTGTTCCTGCCCCTCGCACCAAGCCTGTGGTGCACGTCGCCAGCCCGGTCCGGCCTGTTCCTGCCCCTCGCACCAAGCCAATGGTGCGCGTCGCCAGCCCGGCCCGGCCTGTTCCTGCTCCCCGCACCAAGCCTGTGGTGCGCGTCGCCAGCCCGGCCCGGCCTGTTCCTGCTCCCCGCACCAAGCCTGTGGTGCGCGTCGCCAGCCCGGCCCGGCCTGTTCCTGCCCCTCGCACCAAGCCAATGGTGCGCGTCGCCAGCCCGGCCCGGCCTGTTCCTGCTCCCCGCACCAAGCCTGTGGTGCGCGTCGCCAGCCCGGCCCGGCCTGTTCCTGCTCCCCGCACCAAGCCTGTGGTGCGCGTCGCCAGCCCGGCCTGGCCCGTTCCTGCTCCCCGCACCAAGCCAGTGGTGCGCGTCACCAGCCCGGCCCGGCCTGTTCCTGCTCCCCGCACCAAGCCTGCGGTGCGCGTCACCAGCCCGGTCCGGCCTGTTCCTGCTCCCCGCACCAAGCCTGTGGTGCGCGTCGCCAGCCCGGTCCGGCCCTTGGAGGGAGACAGCTGAGCACTTTCTGAAGAGCTGAGTGCATGCGTTCTGGAATGAGACGTGCCATATCCTAGCCACACACGCCTCCTTTTATTCTTGTCTCAACATTTTAAATTATACTCAAGACACATTATCTTCACACATATTTTAGATTATTTTCACTGACAGCCGCAAGTCAATAATCAGCTAGGCCTATTGCCACGCAGGCCTCCCAATAGGCATAGGCCTTCACGCTTTTGATTTGAAACAATACACAGCCATTTAAAAAAAATAAGCTAATGTTCCTCTGTGGCTAAGTCATGCTCTCTGGTGAAGTATTTTGAATGATTTTATTTAGACAGGAGTAATTATATAATTTTGCCAATTTACTTTAGGGGAAGCCAGCATCCGAACAGTGCACTGGGCACACGCCAACATTCCTTTCTAATTCGCAAGTGGCTGCCTGAAACCAGAGATCTGTATATAATGACGAGATGCTCATGTCACCGTCCTAACAATGGGAGTTGTTGTCCCAAAGGCGGGAAGGTAGGTGACAAGCTTATGTCTGCATATTAAGCCCATAGAAACGCATTGGGCTTATTCTGGACAGATTCTGGTGAGAGTGAGCCCTCTCGCTTTGCCTGTTCCTCTCTGCTGAAACTATCTCACCAGAGAAAGGATCTGAGCGAGCGAAACTGCACCCCTCTGTCTCAGTATGCGTAGCCCATGTATCTGATGTTGTCTGGCCAAAAAGAGTATGACATGCCATACTCTTTTTGTCCAGACAGCATCAGATACATGGTCTACACATACTGAGACAGAGGGGCGCTGTTTCGCTCGCTTGGATGCTTTATCTGAGATTGAGGCATCTTTCTGTCGGCGTCTTGGTCAAATAAATGAATGAAATTCTACAGTATTTCAATTAAATGTTTCATGGACAAAATTACATGTATTTAAGTATTTATTTTTTGCTGTAGTGGGGACAGCAACATTGGTAATCTCAAAAAATTATACTTTGAGGAAAAGGTTTTTATATATTTTTTTTCCTTTTTTATTTTTATCTTTATCTCACATACTATAATAAAAAAGTATGCATTAAGGTGTCTGTAATACTATACATATGGCAAACATGAATATGCATATAAATGCCCCCCGTGGTCCCGTGTAGCTCAGTTGGTAGAGCATGGCGCTTGCAACGCCAGGGTTGTGGGTTCCACAGGGGGCCAGTATGAAAATGTATGCACTCACTGTAAGTCTCTCTGGATAAAAGCGTCTGCTAAATGACTAAAATGTAATTTCTATAGCTTCCAAAATCTTTTTTAAACCGGTGGGGGAGTGCCAAGATGGAGGCACGGTGGCTTCAACACAGCACCCCTATAAGTCATCTAGTGTTTATATAAATCATTGGTTGTAGGCTGCTTTGTCTAAACTCCAGTGATTTCAAATCAAATCAAATCACATTTTATTTGCCACATGCGCCAAATACAACAGGTGTAGACACCCTTAACCAACAATGCCGTTTTTGAAAGAACAATGTAAAATAAAAAAGTGTTAATTAAGAAAACAGACCAGTATCCCTTCTTTCTTTTCTTTCCAAAACTATTGAGCGTGCC